GGGTTGAGTCGTTTTAATGTTTCGTATAACTCCCATGGCAGAATTGTGTGGTTTTTAGGGGACGGGTAAGTATGAAGGTACTGAGGTCAGGTCCAAGGGAGGTAAATCATTTACAATAGAGGAAAAATGCCTGTTAATGATATTTGCTGTGTCTTCTTCATTTGCATGAGGGTCATTGGGAAGCCTAATAGACACCTGTGGTTTACGAGAATTTAACATTTTACGGAGAGAACTATGCCACTTAGCAGGGTTATCTGTCTTAAGATGTTTTACTTTGGAGACATAGTGTTGCTTTTTTGCTTTTGTACGTAGACGAATAACCTTATTACGTAGACTTCGATAAAGTGTCATGGTTCCAGTATGAAATGCATTTTGACGTCGTTTTATTGTAGATTTGATTTCGGCAGTTATCCACTGTTTGTCAGTGTTGTGTTTAACTATAGATTTATAGGGAAAATGTTTATTTATTTGGACATGTAGTATGTGGTAAAATTTGTCTATTTTGCTTTGGACATCTGGGGCATCGATGACTTCAGTCCACGGGTAGGCCGAAATCCAGCGTCCGAAGGATCGGACGTTGGAATCTCTCATTTGTCGGAAGGTGGACGTTATTTTCCTGTTGCTCGGCTTATGGTCTTTGGGCATCCATATAACGGTATTGTGATCACTAAGGCCGAGGGGCTCTTCAATACGGGGATTTAAATAGAAGGACTTCAAATTTGATATTATTAAGTCAAGCACAGCCTCACCCCTAGTAGGCTGATTTACTACCTGTTCGAGCTGACTTCCATTTATAAGACTTTTGATCTCAAATCTGTTGAAGTCTCCCATTACACAGATCCCCACTTGGGGGTATTTTGTACTAATCTTATCAACGCTGTCAATCAAATATTTGGCTAACATGTCCTCGTACATCGAGTTTGGAGGATTGTAGACAACACAAATGGCAATGTTTGTAATTCGACGCGGTGTCCGATACGGTTTAACTAATATCCATAAACATTCTAGCTCTATAGGTGTTTCAATAAAATCTATAACTTCCACAGGTATTGGCAACGCCGCCACCACGACTGGTGCGACATTTAGAGAACAGACTAAAACCATCTATATGTGTACATTCAGTTGGATGGTTGGGTGAGAACCATGTCTCAGATACTAAACTTTATAGGTTTACAAAAGAAGTGCGTACTGTTTTTGTAGTAAACAACACACTTATTCTACTAATGTAAGGTAAAAATTGAGTACGGCAGTTATCAGTCTCCTTAGTTTTGGGGACCGTCAATCAATAGTCTACGATACAAAACAAGCAACCGTTTTCCGTAAATAACATCACATTTTGGCCTCACAGATATCAGCAAACTATGGGATAGAATTGATTCAACTTACTATATTAAATTAATAAAAAGAATATTACAATGTACAATCTTTTTTAAAAATCTGGATATTTCAATTTTTGCTGCAAAATATTACAAATTAAAAACAAAGATATCAGCAAAGCAAGAAGATTGCACGATTAGTAAACATTAAACTTTTCGCAGACTAGACTAATTACATGGACACGTAATCGTTTCAATCGCTTTATGTTGAAGCTAATCGGCTACTAAAGGAGTTACCGCTGTATTAATCTCTTGAGATGAAATGTTTTTATTATTTCTATTAAACGTTAGAAACAACGAGTACGCCAAACAAGCTAAGTAAGTATTGGAAATCAGGATAGCGACTCTGTTTAAGAAGTGTTAAATCTAAAATCATATTTTATTTGGTTCCAAGACAGTTAACACCTTTTCAATAACGTGTTAATCATAGAAATATATGATTGCTTCTTCATACCAAATTGGCATTTGTATTAGTTCTTTATTCTTTATGAGAGTAAATGTAAAGAAATTTCTTCTTCCAAATAGGTGTGTCTTATGACTCTTGCTAAAACAACAACCAAAGCAAGGTAATAGCTCTCTTAAAAGAGTTAACGTGTAATGTCAAAAATTGTAAGACCCTTTTTAAACCCTTGGTGCATAATTTCTAGTGCACTGATTTTGCATCTGCATATCATTTTGGTAATTATATTTTGTAAGGATTTCTTAGAGTCGTTAATTATTTTTTTCTTACATAATGTGTAGAATCAGTGCTTTCTAAGATACTAGTATAATTATATACGTAGCCAAGCTAAAAATAGCACTTATATGCCTTTAAATGTTTTATATAAATTACAATGAATTATTGGATAATAATGCCAAATGTAGCTGCATTAACCTTGAGCAGATGCAATTGCAATTGACTGCAGCTATTAGGACAGTCTATGTTTCCATTAATTTACTTTAAAAAAAGGATAAAGCTCCTACGAAAGTCCATAAATTTCCACCATATGATACCAAATATTATTTAAAACTGTATAAACCTCTATCATATGGTATTAAATGTTATTATGTTTACCGAAGGAAAACATATTGTTTTTGCTCGGTTTCCTCTTCCGTTCCAAACAGTATCCTCTGACCTGGCCAATGGCCTGATTTGTTGATGTCTGTCACCATGGTAACTGGTTGACATAATTTTGCAATTTTATAGGAGGGGTGTAGACTCCTGTCTGACCATATATATGAATGTAACGTTACATGTATTTGAGTAAGAAAAGCAAACTATATGCGAAGGTAAACATTATGCATTTGCTTTGCAAATGTTACCTTAGCTTTCTAGTTTAAATGATATTTAAAATGATATCAATTACAAATACAGGTTTTTCTTCGATATGATCTGCTTGTTGATATTTCTGTGATAGACATTAATTATCCCCACATGTACGTCCAAAAACATGATATCAGATATCAGCAAACTATGGGATAAAATTAATTCAACTTACTATATTAAATTAATAAAAGAATATTACAATGTACAATCTTTTTTAAATCTGGATATTTCAATTTTTGCTGCAAAATATTACAAATTGAAAACAAAGATATCAGCAAAGCAAGCAGATTGCACGATTAGTAAACATAAAAATTTTCGCAGACTAGACTAATTACATGGACACGTAATCGTTTCAATCGCTTTATGTTGAAGCCAATCGGCTACTAAAGGAGTTACCGCTGTATTAATCTCTTTAGATGAAATGTTTTTATTATTTCTACTAAACGTTTGAAACAACGAGTACGCCAAACAAGCTTAGTGAGCCATGGAAATCAGGATAGCGACTTTGTTTAAGAAGTGTTAAATCTAAAAAAAATTATTTGGTTCCAAGGCAGTAAACACCTTTTCAATAACGTCTTAATCATAGAAATATATGATTGCTTCTACATACCAAATTGTCATTTTTATTAGTTCTGTATTCCTTATGAGAGTAAATGTAAAGCAATTTCTTTTTAAAATTGGTGTGTCTTATGACTATTGCTAAACAACAACTAAAACAACGTATGAAAAGAGTTAACGTGTAATGTCAAAAAATGCAAGACCCTTTTTAACCCTTGATGCATAATTTCTAGTGCACTGATTTTTCATATGCATATCATTTTGGTAATTATATTTTGTAAGGATTAATCATATTTCTTAGAGTCGTTTATTTTCTTCTTACAAAAAAGTGTCTTTTGTTTTGGATAATGTGTAAAATCAGTGCTTTCTAAGATACTTACAAGCATAATTATATGCGTAAATGTTAAATGTTTTACATCAATTGTAATAATTTATTGGATAATAGTGCCAAATGTAGGTGCTCTAACCTCGAGCAGAATCATTTGCAATTGACTGCAGCTATTAGGACAGTCTATGTTCCCATTAATTTACTTATAGAAAAGGATAAAGCTCCTACAAACTCTATAATTATTTCTACCATGATACCAAATGTTATTTAAAACTATATAAACCTCCATCATATGGTATTGAATGTTATCTAAATGATATTTTGCAATTACAGGTTTTTCTTCGATTTGATATGCTTGTTGACATTTTTATGATAGAGACTAATTATCCCCATATGTAGACTTGATTACTCATACATTTTATTATAGACTACAAAATCATTCTATTGTTAAATAGTGAGTATCTGCTTAAGCGAACCGGGGACAAAATTTGTTTCTTGTACATAAAAGTCAAAGCAACAGAGATTTCACAAAAACTCTGTGACCTATTGTCCATGGTTACGAATTGTTCTGTTTAAACACAGTTAATAGGTTTCTTCTGTAGTCAAATTACGTTTGTCAAGGCTTAATATTGTACTTTCAAGTATAACAAAGGACGGTCAAAGAACTGTCGACATTGGTAGTGAGCTCTCAACCTGCGCTGCCTCCTCGGTTACCCTGCATTAGAGACAACAACGTTTCCATCAATAAAAAGTGAAAATATCTGGCAACTTCAGTACACACGGGAATAATGGTTGAAACAAATGACAACTCTTAGTAAACCATGTAAGAATTATGTTTCGTTTTCATAAGTAGGGATAATATTTGCTTGGGTTACCTGGGATAACTTGGCACATGAAGTAAGCCAGGTAAATGCAGCGGATGTCGGCCCACTTTCCACTCTTCGTCATGTAAACGCAGTCTTCAAGTTCGGCGTACATGTGGTTTTTAGGTGGTTCTCCTGGACCCCACTGGGTGTAGGCTCCAAGGGGAGTGCCGTCCACCCACTCAAACACTCCTTCCTTGCGTTCATCAGTGAGGCCGAGCCAGAATCCGCCGTCAATGCCACTAGTGGTCTTAATCAGGGACATCAGGAAAGCGTTGGTCTCAGCGTCTCGGGGCATGGCGAGGGTGCCGCCATCTTGACGGCAGGTCGCGCTTGCATCTCTGAAATTCTTTTGAGTGTCGAATGCCTTGTAGCAGATTCCACGCCACTGTTGATAACTTCTTTTGGGACAAGCTGGGGAAAAGACGATTCGCATGTGTTTATCTTCCAAAGACCTCTTTTTGAGCAATACAAAATACAACAATAATACTAGAATTCCGAGATCTCATACCTCCATGAAATATGATCTTGATATGTAAATGTAAATTTCTTCTTTAATTGTGTAAATGACCTCTGCATTAACATTATATATGCATCGTGATGTATGTTAACTTTTGATTAACTTACAGATGTCCCAAGTATGACATTCTCATCATTCACCATTACGAAATCATAGAATTTCCGCATTAATTATGCAAACTAGGTCATCATTTGCATAATTAGTATCTGTTGAAGTTCCACCTGCTATAGGTTACATATATTACATGTATGTAAGTAGTATAATGTAAAACACTGTAATTATAGAATTTCCTCATTAATTATGCAAATTAAGTCCTCATTTGCATAATTTGCATTTAATTATGTACATCTCTCTCTCAGCTACCTACACACCAAAAATAATGAAAATATGTTGTTCCTGTCTGGACTTTTCGCATTAATTATGCAAATTAGGTCATCATTTGCATAATTAGTATCTGTTGAAGTTCCGCCTGCCATAGGTTACATATATTACATGTATGTAAGTAGTATAATGTAAAACACTGTAATTATAGAATTTCCTCATTAATTATGCAAATTAAGTCCTCAATTGCATGATTTGCATTTAATTATGTACATCTCTCTCTCAGCTACCTACATACCAAAAATAATGAAAATATGTTGTTCCTGTCTGGACTTATTGGCTTTTAAACATTTTGCCAGAAAGTGCCCTGCAGTTCCAGAACAAGCCGCTAGGGGGCCCAAACTCATATGACTTCTTCCCAAGTACGAGAGGTACCTTCCATCAAAATTTCATGACCCTTGCATGTCCAGATCGCGAGATATCAAAACCAGAAGTTGCGCTGCAGTACCACTAGGGGGACCAAAATCTAATCATTTCTAGTTTTCGTCACACCCTACCAACACACCAAGTATGAAACCAATCCATCCAGGCGTTCTTGAGTTATCTTGTTGACCAACAGACGGACGGACAGACGAACAGACGAACAGATAAACGCAACTGAAAATATAACCTCCATGACACATTTCATGGAGGTAATAAGACAACCAACTGTCAGATGATGAATCATCAGAAAGCCTATGGCAAATGTGCAAAACTGTGCTTAGTAAAGGTACACTGGATGCCTCACCTGCAACAAATGCTGTAGATCCCACCAGACATGGAGGCCCAATTGGTCCTATTCCACCCTTTTGTCCCGGGCGGCCAATCGGCCCGCTGGCCCCCTTCTCTCCCGGAGGACCAGCTGGCCCGACAGACCAAAGGCCATCTGGTCCCATGGCTCCCTTCTGTCCCGGAGGACCAGGAGGTCCGACGCACCGAGGGCCAACTGGCCCCCTAGCCCCCTTCTCTCCTGGAGGGCCAGGAGGCCCAGAAGGTCCGGCAGACCGAGGGCCAGTTGGCCCCATGGCCCCCTTCTCTCCTGGAGGGCCAGGAGGCCCAGAAGGCCCGGCAGACCGAGGACCAACTGGCCCCCTAGCCCCTTTCTCTCCTGGAGGGCCAGGAGGCCCAGAAGGCCCGGCAGACCGAGGACCTCCTGGCCCCATGGCCCCCTTCTCTCCTGGAGGGCCCGGAGGCCCAGAAGACACAGGGCCAACTGGCCCCATGGTCCCCTTCTGTCCTGGTCGGCCAGGAGGCCCGGCAAACCCAGATGAAGCACACACCTCTGAAAAATAAGATTTCATGAGTTTAAAAGGGATAACGTGAGATACAATCAAAACGAAATAACCTGTATTTGATGTAAACTAGCTATTGAGTTTGGCGAGCATTGGGTTCCTTTACACATGTACATGCACCTACATGTATAACAGGTGAGCATGACTGTTTAACTGCTACATATAATCACAATACACACTGGTACATATCAACTGCATTGAAGTTCTACGATATAATAGATATGATACTTACGTTCCAGCTCGGCTACTCGAAGCTCGATATTCTTTTCCATCTCCACAAATTGCTTTGAGTGATCGATGACTTTAACTGTATCAAAAAGATAAGAGAAAAAAGTAAGAATACATATGAATTGAACATTTTCAAAAGGCATTTTTACAACAGTATTTGCAGGACGTTGCAAGTATGCAGCAGTGCAAGTTATAAGTCTATGATAATGTATGTAATATACTATGTACTGTCACCATAATTCAGTCTTAGGACTGCAAGTGTGACGTGTGGTAGAAATTTCAAATAAACCATTCATATAACATGGACCAAAAGGTTCGGAGCATGTTAAGCTGTGGTCCAATGCTCATTGTGACCGTCGAAAATTGTGGGAATTTTTTTGGTACTCTGAACCTATAAATACGTCTTGTTTCACAAACAGTGGTGGATTAGTTCTTCAGTGAGCTAAATTGAGATCACTTTCCTTATGTTTAAAAATGTCAGGTAAAACAACGCATGTATTTTTTTCAAGCCATGTAAAAACTTGCCTGCAAAGAAAGCCAACAGTATGACGATCACCACGGCAAACCCAAGGCCTGCGATCTGGCAAAGCTTGTTGCGAAGCTTGTTGCGAACGCGCCAACACTTCTTAACGTCAGCCGCCGTGTCGTAGGTGGAATCTGTTGAATAATTAAAGAGGAATATTCATTTCACAGTCCTTTCTGACAACATAATGTAAATTGTAAAGTAACATATAATGTAACAATTTGATGTGGAATGCATTATAATACAACAACACCACGTAA